GTCACCCCACTCTTGCAGCTGCGCAAAATACTGATGTGCCAATGGTTGATGAGTGGTAGCGTTTGGGCGACTGATGAACGAATGGTGCCCGAACGGTGTGCCGGCGGCCTGGTTCTTGGCATTGTGCATATGTCTGTTTAAACGGAAGCGCACGCTCACTGCCATTCACCAGTGTAAGTTTGCGGACAGAGGCTGCATAGGATCACATGTGTGATGCTCCTGACTGCACAACATATTTTTCTTCAGTACATCTTTCATGTGGCGCACGCTCGATACCTTGCGGGACAGCGAGGTCGCTCGAGCACGAAACAGTTTAGATAATTTCTGGTGCTGTTTCGGTTGGTCCAAGTGATGCGATTTTGAACCTCGCAGGAGCGTATTGTACTTTGTATCTGTCTTGCCAGATGGTCATCGATGAAGGGAAGCGTTATGGATATGGACATTCTGGTTACCCCATGAGCCTCATCACACGACTGACTAATTAAATACTACTGGGCCGAAACAACAATGAGACGAAACAAGCGTGCTGACGAGACCAGTGTAGCCAAAACATGATGCCTCCTCTAACTGGTGTTTTGTGCCAGAGCGAGTTTGCTGTCCGCTGGGTATCGAAATTGCGTCAATTGTAAAGGCGGACTGAAAAAGTGTTGCGATTTTAAGGACGTCGTTTCTCAGATCTTATGCAATCTTTGCCAACTAACTTAGACTGGTAAAACGAAAAGCAGCATGCGTTACGTTTTGATAAACATCTGCGCAATGCAAGAACCGGACCGGCAGCAAACGTTCGGTTACCATTCGCCTATCAATCACCCAAACGCACTGCTCGCCAACCATCTGCACACCAGTATTCTGCGAAGACGCAAGCATAGCACCGACATGACATTTTCGGAAACCCTCCTTGTGAGGCAGCACCACCCAAAGATTGATACCTTTTTGACACCTGGCCTACACTGCCTGCGGAGCTGCGGACAAAAATACGCATGTAATTTGCACGGATGACAATCGGCTTTATGATGTAGTGCGTACGCTCAATGTTTGTTAGGCTAAAGTACGTAGGATATTAAGCTCGTAACGGCGAAGCTCGTGATTGCAAAATTACGTATGGATATGGATCGCTTGGTAAAACATTCGTCAGGAAAGGTTCGTATTTTGATATATGATGCAAGTACACAAACTTTG